AGCTGTTACTACAGTTTAAAAAGAAATAATTAATATAGGTTAAAATCAAAAAAAAAAAAAAAAGAATTTCTATGTGTGTACTATTCCGTCCGATTCATTTTTGTGTCATTTTATCTTGTGTAAACAAGAGAAGAAAATAAAAAAAAATAAACATGTCAGGTTAATTTTATGTGTCATCAATAGATAATTACGATAATTGACTCTCTATTTATGAAATATCAGCTCTCTTTCTCTGTCTCTATGCTTTTTGTATATCCGTAAAAGATGAAACATGATTACTTCAATTATAGATATACCACAGCATAGAAACAAACTTGTCTCTTTTTTCGACAAGGTTATACTAATTACGTCAAAATGGCTACTGGAGAATTCTAATGTCATTCTATGTTGTTCTTCTACAATTGATTCTGAAAGGTCACGATGCCGACAAATTAACGTATACATTGCTATGATGTGCATTTCTAAACACCAGTCGTCTTCATCAACGATGTAACTTTCAATTTAGAGAATAAACTACATTCACTTTTCATAGAATGTATTCTCAATTATATTCCATTAACACATAATTTATAAATTGAAAAGAAAAAAAAAAAAACAACAAATTTTCCTTTTCATCATTCAACAGTTATGTCTACAGTATAAAAATTGTTATGTGATTATTTGTTATAGGAACATCGTTTGTTTTGTATTATCTTAAGATATTATTTCAAATGAAATATTCTGTTGTTAATATATTTATGCAGAAATAACTTTGATGTTCATGATTTTGTTTTTTTCTCAATGAAAATCTAGTTAAACAATTTTAGTGAATAAAGTATATGGAATGAATAAGGATTAAATAGATCAATTGAAATAATAATATAGAAAAATGTTCATTGATTGTATTACAAAGATTTAAAAATGGCCAACATCTTCATTTAGACTTTCAGCAAGTTTAGCATGTACAGCAACTTGTTCTGCTTTTCCATGAGTATCTGCTCGCCATGGAACATGATAAACACGAGCTGTTGCATATTTTTTATCTGGTAATTCAACCTATTTACAATTTAGAAACAATAAATATGAATAACGATGAATTTGAAACGTATGTAATACCTTAAAAAAATAATTCATTCCAGCAACAACTTGTGTAGCAACTTGAACTGGTTTAAGTGTATGACTTGTAGGTACCTTAAATTGATCTTGAATTTTTTTTTCCAAATGTTGTTTATACTATAGAAAAAAATTCATAGATATCAATTTAAACAAAAATAGATTTTTACCATGTCCCACACTTTTAAATCGTCTTCATTTACTGGTCGAAGTCCACCGATACCACCACACATTTGAGGTCTATAATAAATTTTTACACAATAGAAATAGTTAGCTTTTTAGAATTTCACTTACTTATGAACAGTGGGTTCACCGTGAGCAGTAGAATCTTTTTCAGATGACATTCTTTAATAATCTAAAACAAGCTGATACGAGCATCTTCTATCATTATATACGATCAAAAGTCAATAGTGAGTCATGAAAAATAAATCTGATGAATAAATTCAAAAAGTATGGCGACCTATGAATAATTCTATCTATTATCCTGTGATAGATATGACAAAGCGTTTCTTTTTTTATCTTTTCTTTCTTGCTCATCATTAAATTCAACATTAATGTTTTTTTTTTTCTTTCTCTGTTTATAATCAAAACAATAACAGTGATTTATATTTGTTTTAATGTAGCCAATACGAAACTTCTTTCCAGTATTCTATAGATGTGCCACTAAAACACTTCATTATATATTTTTTTTTCTGTACTGGTGAACAAACAGCTCATTATCGGGATTACTAAATCGATATTTTCGAAACTAGAAGTTTAACAGGAGTTTTGTTTTTAAATCAGATTTTTTTTTCGAATACTCGGAAGCATTTAGTGGCGTTTTTGTTCGCCGAAGCACCGGCGACTTTCTTCTAATAAAGCAATAAGAGTGAAATTTGCTGACAAGCGACATCAAAACAAAACAAAGAAATATAATCAAAAATATGTTATATTATTGATCTTTTCATATTCGTTGATGAAAACATACCAACAAAATAAAAAATAAGTTTACTTATAAAATTGATAATAGATTATCCGATTATTATGAATATCGTTATTCAGGAAAGATTCATGATAGAGATTCTATTTTAAATGAACTCTCAGGAAAATCAAGATTAGTTTGTTTAGTTTTTTACTGTGATCTATTAGAAAAAAATGAAAGAATGAAAATATTTAAATTTAAATTTAAATAGGATACTATTACATGTAATTATGAATCTCTTGTTTCAAATGTATTTCGTACAAGAAGATGTTGTTGATATAATTAAATCTGATGGATAAGTTTCAACAACTTTATCATATAGATATTATTTTGAAGGTTAATTCATTTTTTTTTTTCTTTATTTTTAAAATTTTTTCTTTAGAAATTTGTTTATTAACACGAGCTAAATGTACAGCTGGTGTTCGTGTGTAACATATTGTAACTTATATTCGTTAGATTCAAGTAAATTTGAAATAGTTCGTGAATCATATTCATTAATGAGAATAACAATTGAATCAGCCGCTACTGAAAGATTTATTAAATGAGGACAAAATCCTTCAATAATATCAACATCACATGATTCAAATATTGATACAGCTATTTTAAAAAATATTATTAATCATATTACACTTGAGACCGAAAACGAGAGAATATTTTGTTCCCTGTCTCGACCTTAATATTTTTTCTTCACTTTCACGTTAGACTTCTATTAGATGCTTCTATATTTTGATCATGTGATTCATTGGACTACATATTTCAAAAAAGACACAGTTCAAGATCAATCGATCTTTTACTTTGTTATTTTGTATCGAACAAAGAAATAAAATATTGTTAATAGCTGTTGGATTTGAATTAGATCTAATTTGTTTGACAATTTGACCAGTGCCGAAAACTCTCTTTCAAAAACAGGCGCATTACATATAGAGGCTTGCAGATTCCTTTAGATACTGGAAATCGGAACCAGCGGTTTATTTATGTTTCCGATTAATACAAGCGAGAAAAAAGGCTCCAAACTCGATTCCTTTAAAGCTTCTTCAGAACCTTTGATCTAATTATAGAATCGGAGACAAGAGATGCAATAATTTTTCTCTAGAAATTCGTAAGTTATATGTCACTTTTCGAAATTGTTAAAGTTGTTATTTTTGAAGTAGCGATTTCTTTACAAGATAAAAAAAAGTTAGAGGAACGAATGAGATAATCATGCCTGTTCATCAGGTGTATAATATTTTCACTAACAATCGAAAACAACTGTAAGAAAAACCAACTTTTTTAGGTGCCAAATCATCGCTGATAGAAAAAATCTCTCTTTTAAAAAGGGCACAGCTCAAAATCATAATACAAATGAAAGAGTACATCGGATCAGAGATGGACAAAGTCGCACCGCGCCTCCCCGAGCTTCTCCGCGCCGTTGCTCACGCCTACGCTACACTAGTCTGAGCTTCGATGAGCGCATGCTTAGAGCATCCCGGTATTTGGTGGAGTTTGAGAAACTGATTGGTAGAGCAAAGAGAAAGAGAGATGTGCGTAGCGCCTAGGCGCGAGCAGTGGCGCGGGGAAGCGCGGGGAGGCGCGGTGCGATTTTGTCCATCTCTGCATCGGATTATCGAACCCTGACTATTCTGAAAAAAAAATGATTTTTTGACGGCGATGGATTTTTTCAGGGACCTTATTCATACTGCTAAATATTTTTGACTTTTCTTTCCATTTAATTGCAAGATTATACACATAGTTTGCTATTTATGAAATCAATGATTGGTCTCTCCAACTTCAGATTATGCGACACTTAACCATTTGGTGATGAAGTCCGTCAATTTACGGTTTCAAAGTTTAGTTTGAGACAAATGTTCTTAACTATACTAAAAGACGGTTTTTTCGTATGCTTTGTGTCTAACTATACGTCTTGTCAGCAACGGTTTGACACCCTAGCGCTCTATTCCGTATACTGAGTGCAAAAACAACTAGACTTACTGCTAGACACTCTCCTTCTCTTGTATCTTAAACAACAGATAGAAAAATTCTCGGAAATTTTATATTGTATGTAATCGTCCAAAAAGAAGACAAATCGATAGAATAGATTGATGTTATACTTGCAAAGATTGTACTGTGGACATTTCGTGTGATTAACTGCTGTGAAGAATTACACATTTTATTCCACTCTTTTATGTTTTATTTTCGTATGTTACATGGTAGCTATGTTAGAATTTTTGGGAAATTGTTTTGTTTTCGTTACTTGAAAATAAACCAGGCATATCTTCAAATTAAGACTTAATAGAATACTTATGATCTTAAATAATGTTCGAAGTGTAATGAATGTTGACAATAAAATTTTAGTTTCTTTTCTTAAAAAACTTTGCCTTCAAAGGACTAAACAGCTCTCTAGTTATCAGTTAAAATTCTTAGGTTATAGGTGCCATAGAATTCGAGATATTCAACGAAAAAGAAAAAACCTGAAATATTTCTAATAACAAGAAAGAAAACAACAAATTCTATACTTTCAACAATCTTTATGCTTCAATAAGTTTTTCAGAAAGTAGAGGATAGATACTTTAACAACTACTGAAATACACTCTCAAACTTCCATAATATAAGTTTTATTTTTTATTATATTCAATTAGAAATTAATCTAAAAATTGACAAAAAAAAAGAAGCTAAATTTCATTCTATGATTAAGTATTGGTTTCTACAATATAAAATTGAACAAAATTGATGTGTGATTACTTCTCATTGCAACATCGTTTGTTTATAGTTGTCTTTAAAAGTTATTTAAAATGAAAAAAAAATACAATACAAATATATTGATGTAAACAAATCTAATGTCATTGGTTTTTCTTAATGAGAATCTAGGTGAATAGTTATAGTGAACTAAACATACACAATTAATTATGACTAAATAAATTAATAGAAATAACTAGATATGAAAATGTTCATCCATTATATTGTAAAGATTTTAAAACCAACCCATGTCTTCATTTGGATTTTCACTAAGTTTAGCATGTACAGTGACCTGATCTTCTTTTCCATGAGTCTCTTGTTTCCATTCAATATGATAAACACAAGCTGTTGCATATTTTTTATCTGGTAATTCAACCTATTTACAATTTAGAAACTATGAATATGAATAACAATGAGTTTGAAACCTATGTAATACCTTAAAAAAATAATTCATTCCAGCAACAACTTGTGTAGCAACTTGAACTGGTTTAAGTGTATAACTTGTAGGTACCTTAAATTGATCTTGAATTTTTTTTTCCAAATGTTGTTTATACTATTGAAAGAAATTCATAGATATCAATTTAAGCAAAAAATAGATTCTTACCATGTTCCAAATTTTAAAGTCTTCTTCATTTAGTGGTTGAAGCTTACTGATACCTCCACATATGTCTTCTCTATATAGGATCTTCCAGAGTAGAAATATTTAAACTCTTAACCATTAACTTACTCGATTATCGTTGGTTTAATTTGAGTAACAGAATTTTTTTCAGATGACATACTTTTAAAATCTAAAACTAAGAGGTATGGACGTTTTCTATGATTATATACGATCAAATGTCATTATACATACATGAAAAGCAAGAATGATTAACAAGGTCGAAGAAAATATGGTGTTGTACTTATTTGTATGTGAATGGTAAGCTCGATTGCTTCTTTTTCTCTTTTCTTTCTTACGTATTATTAACTTCAATGTGAATATTTCTTTTTTCTTGTTCTATTCATAATCAAAATAATAATACTAATTGGTATTTATGTTCATGTAGTCAATACAAAATGTCTTTCATATTAGTTGTAGATGTACTGTCATAGCGCTTGATTGTAATTTTTCTTTTCTTTTCTGAAGAACAAACAACTGATCCTTATTTAGATTTATTTATTTGAATAGTTGTTTTTAGTTCTTGAGAGTAAATATATCAAATATATTATAATAAACTATTAATAGATAGATCAAAGTATATTTTATTTTGTTGATCACAAGAAAAATTAGAGAAAAAATGAAAAGTTTTATTCATATATTTTCATTTTTAGATAATACTAAAACTCAAGAAAAAAACTAGTTTACTAGTGTTGAAAATAATAATGGTTTTGTTTTATTTTCCGTTCTATCAATCGCAATGTTATTCTTGTAATAGGTGAATCATAAGCTAATGAAGAACGATCAATTATTGATACGTGATTAGGTTTCCGTTTTATTTCATAGCATAACGAAAATTAGATTCGTTAGATCATCACGTTTTCACGGGCAGTCTTTACTGTATCACAAGGAAATAGAAAACAGCTAATAATTGCCATTATTTACACTATTTCGAATGGGTTTTTTGACAAAGCGTGCAGCAGAGTGTTCTACAACTCACGATTTTCTGATTACAATTAGGAAGAAATCTTGTTTCGTGATGTGGTGATCTTCTTCATACGTACGATAGTGAATGAATAGATAAAGTATACATAGCCTTAGTACGGATAAGATAAATGATGGACGATTGGAAGAAGTCAAAGTTGAACGGAACCTTCTAATAATGAAATACTTTTTGTTCGTACTAATGTGTTTTATTTATATACAGCTGATGGTTTACAGCTGAATCTTCGTGAAGTCGAAAACATAAGTCGATATCTCACGTGCATACATCTGATAATCTTCCATAGATACCTTCAAAAGTACTGCTCACTACTTTGTCTAAGTTGTTCATCAGCAAAAACGGTCGTGCTCAAGTGTTACATCAGGCGAATATGAATACTAAATTTGAATAAACTCATGTTAGTAAAGCGTTGGTTATGTCCCCAACTGACTCGTTAAAATGTCTGTAGATCCCTGCCGAAAAAATATAGATTCGTCTAAAATATGCGATGACGAACATCTAAAAGCGAAATAATGATTGACCACGAGTTTACTTTCAGCATTCTGTTTTTCTTAAAAAGTTCATCGTGTTCTCTATTTCTTCTCGTCCAAATCCACTGATTTCGAAGTAGACTATGGTGGGTGTCTTTGCAAAAAATTGAAATAGTAAAGAGCGAAATGATGTGATTAACAGGCAGTAGTTTGATTCTTGAACGGTTGACTATCCTTTGACCGTTATTCTATCGCAGCATATGAATATCTTTTTTCCAACCGATTGTTTACTATATGTATACCGCTGGTTGTATGAAAACAATAGCAACATGGGATTACAAATGATGCACTTATTGAAGAAAAAAAATAGAAACTGGCTATTCAAATTTCAATTGTTAATTTTGATGCCTGATAGATCTAACAATTTATTATATCTATTCCACGCTGAAATATTTATTTCCACTAAGTGAGATGCCCGATCACATTTATAAACTTCAATCAAAATCGAATTTTGAGGGTATTTATTTAAAAAATAAATAAATAAATCCAACAATTCGATACAAATCTTCTTGTCCTACCTCTTCTGATGAACTTATTTGATGAATTTTTTTATTTTTCTTTTTTCGATTGACGCAGTACCTGATATTATGAAATAGCCTGTGGTATTTTTATTGACTGTTATAGTTCATATGAAATTGGTGAGCCTTTTTGAATCATTTAATTTTATCTTGCCTAATGGTTTCCTTTTCTTCCAAATAATAGATTAACATGTCTGTATTGAGAATAACGAATCGGTAAGACTTGTCAGGTTTAGGCATATCATGCTTTCATTATATTATGGTTGAATGTGGGGATGACATATACTTGTAACATAATGTTTTATAACAAAAATATATTGTTTTCAAATAGCTTTAGAAGAATTGAAAACATTTATGCTGATACTAAGGGTTACCGGAACTTTGCCACTAGGAATTTCGCAAATTGAACTTTCCCCATTGGCGAACGTCCACAGGATATTTGCCAGTACACCCTTTACACTTTCGCCAATATTGGCGAAGATCCATTACACTACCGTCAATTTGAGTGGAACTCTTACATTGACTAGAAACAGTGGTATCAAATATATGTATAAGTCTATGTATCAGAGCACATTTAAAGAATACAAGGCGTAATTCTCGCATATGTGCTCTATTCATAATGTTCTGCGCCAATTGCTGAAAATACATTCGACTTTCACCAGTACTGGCATAAGTCGATAAGACACTCGCCAATTGGCGAAAGTTCAATAGACATTCGCCAATATATCCTTCGGACTTTCGTCTATAATTGGCGAAAGTCTTATTGGTGAAGAGCGTGGATTCCGATACTAACTATGATAAATTGTTGTCGATACCTCAAGAAAACTCTTGCTAAGTTTTGAATATTGAAACTTCTTTTAATCTATTGAATTTCGCTTCTCATTCTATGCATGAACATTGAACAGGATTTGTAGGTATATGAATTATCATACATTTTAGTTATATGTACGGTCTCAGTTCATCACGGTTATAAAAATTACAATCATCAGAATAATAAAATACAACATTGATACCTTCGATCAAGTATTTTTACATGAATATAATCACGAAAGATTTATTTATTAAAACAAAAAAAGAAATTGAATTATTCATATAAATATATTGTTACCAAAAAAAGCATATTCGTATATCAACATTTATGTTATATCGTTTTTCCTTAGATAACCTTAAGGTTAAGTAAATCCATTTTTCTTTTTTCGTTCTATATTGACTGAATAAAGTGTGGGGTCCTTATCTCAACATTCGGTTTTGTCAACCTATATTAGTTGAAAACATAAAATAAAACAAAAGATGAGTGAATCCTATGATTTTGCTTTATGGTCACATTACTATCGTGATAATCTTCTTTCAAATATAATACCATTTTGGCTTCGTCATTCAATTGATACTGAATATGGTGGTTATTTTACATGTCTTGATCGTTATGGTCAAGTTTTTGATACAGATAAATTTATTTGGTTGCAAGCACGACAAGTTTGGATGTTTGCAAAATTATGTCAAGATAATGATTTGAATATTTCTGATGATGAACGAAAACAATGGTTAAAGACAGCACAACATGGTGCAGAATTTCTTGAAAAATATGGTCGACATCCAACAAGTGGACAATGGTATTTTTCTTTAACACAAAAAGGTGAACCACTTATTGAACCATATAATATATTTTCAAGTGTTTTTGCTTCAATGGCATTTGGACAAATGGCTAAAATTGATAAAATTAATAGTGAAAAATATAAAGAAATAGCATTAAATACATTTAATGATATACAAAAACGTCGTTCAAATCCTAAAGGTGAATGGAATAAAGCAAGTCCTTCATCACCAAGACAATTAAAAAGTTTTGCTTTGCCTATGATGATGTGTAATTTAGCTATGGAATTAGAACATCTTATTGATAAACAACTTATACAAACATTAACACAAGAATGTATTAAAGAAATAATTGAACAATTTCGTCAATCCGATTCTGGATTAATATTAGAATATATTAATGCTCAAGATGGTTCAAGAAATGATTCGTTTGAAGGACGACTTCTTAATCCAGGTCATGGTATTGAAGCAATGTGGTTTTTACTTGATATTGCTGAACAACAAAATAATAACGGGTTAGCTTCAATTTGTATTGATACTTTATTAAGCATACTAAATTATAGTTGGGATGATAAATATGGTGGAATTTTTTATTTTCTTGATATTGAACAACGACCACCACAGCAACTTGAATGGGATCAAAAATTATGGTGGGTTCATCTCGAAACATTAATTGCATTAATTAAAGCTATTGATCATCGACCAGATAAAATAGATGAATTAGTTAGTTGGTTAAATAAAGTACAGAAATATACTATTGACCATTTTGTTGATCCAGAAGGTGGAGAATTATATGGATATTTAAATCGACAAGGTGAAGTTTTATTAAATTTAAAAGGTGGAAAATGGAAAGGATGTTATCATGTACCCAGAGCTTTTTATTTATGTTGGAAAACATTGGATAAAATCAGCAAGAAAAAATAAACAAATTTTTTATAATAATATGAGTTTTAAAAATAAATCATAAAATAATTATATTCACGTTTAATAAGATACGTCCAATAATTGTATACTGATGAATATAATTCAATAAAGCTATTAGAATAATAAGTTGACATGTTTATCGACTGTTCTTTTTTTTTTTTTTTTGAAGAATAAGAAGTGACGACTGATCTCAGATATTATTGTAATAAAAGATTCAATCATATTGTACTTTGTCAAATGTATGATAGAAACATTCATTTTGTTAGGACGTAGCTTTGAACAATTTCAAACTGAACTTATTTTAATATGTATTATATCGTAATCGTGAGATTAAATGATTTTGGGAAACAATGAAGAAAGTTTTAGATTATTACAAATAAATGACTTCAATCACATAAGAAGTATAGTTTTATTGAGAATAAGTATGAGAGGTAGGAGCTTTTTGGATTCTCAACCGATTTTTAAATATTAAGAATGTTTCTCTTCGTACAATGGTAATTATTTCTGAGTCAGGCATATACATCATCGGCGCTTTAATTACACCAGCTATTAAACTCAAATGTTAGGAATTTCTAAAAAAGAATGTGTATCAAACGCTGAAAGGCTAACGAAAGGGATTTGGTCATCGACAAACTAATTCTTTCTGGCATGTCATTTGTTAAATTGTTAAATCAAATTATAATCAATGTTGATTAATATTTATCTTGATAACAAATCGATCTAATTGAAAACTTGAAGAATTTCATTGTGGCGAGCATAAGAATATGTAAATTTGTCTTAACCTTAATTGTGCGTAAATTTAACTGCAAAATAAGTTAAGACGGAAATGAAGACCTAATAAGTTAACAAATATATGTCTGATTACATCTTGCCTAATTAAATACTCTTTCATGATATTTTCAAATTTATTTTGTCGTTCTTAGGTAAGTCTTCAGAAATAAAGCACTACCTTTTTAAGAAATATTATCAAGCCTATACATATGAGGAGAACATTGACGAAAAAAAAATTGTTAAATCATTGTTAGATGTGGGCGGTTTCGCGTGTTTCGAATAAGGAAGCTATGGAGCCGTCTGAGGAGACTTTGTACAGTGTCTACTTCCACTACCGTTCTTTGTACCACTCCTAACTCGTTCTTTTAGGTACAGTGCAGATCTCTATTCTGTGTGTGAAATATTTTCCTATCTTAAATGATTGCATTGTACTTGAAAATTTCTTTGTTGACTTCATTTTATTATGAAGTAAGTTTTTGGTATTTCGTGAATGGTTCCTCAGTCATATTTTCTGCTTCAGAACTTTTGTCACCATGCTAACTTTTCTTTTTTCTTTTTACAAGATGATTTCATATTATTCTATTTAAATAAAAACTTGTTCAAGGAAAGTTATTCACAAATTTCCATACAATATATTTGATCAATGCTCTATCTATACCATGACATATAACAAAAAAACATTTAATAACTTGTCATAATATAAAGAGAGTTTTTCCATAAGGTTTATTATTTTCGCCAATATTTACAATTTGACGGTATACGATGATAATATGATGTATATACGACGACAATTCTACTATGTACCATCATCTGAACTTAGCCGTAGAGACACCATATACGAGCATTGTAACAAAGCATTTGATTGCTACAAATGATACCAATTTTTGCATTGATCTTTATTTCGGAAAATAGATACTATGCAATATAAAATATTTTTCACCAGATATAAATTTTTATTTTCGTAGTGTGTTCAGTCAACACACAAAAATAAAATGCGTCCTAGTGAAAATTTGTCATGATCTACTAGTCAATCATTTATTCGTCGTTCTGTTTTTTCACATGCAGTGACATATAGCCAAGGTCACGAAACATACTGAACCTATACATCCTATTAAGTCTCTTTTCCAGATTATTTATAGACTAATCTTTAGTTCAGCTCATATTATGAGATCGACCAGCAGTCGAAACTGGACCATCTTGAAGTAGTTTTATTGAGATCAAATCGACTTGAGATAGTTGCATCTTAGGATTTTATTGTCTTGCATTTCAAGAACAGTTGCCAATGATTCAATTCAAACTGAAAAAATAGTAATTATTCAATTTTCAAGAAAAAAAAAATAACAGACGTATCGAAGGAGAAATTCAAATCATGCTTTCAGCACGTGTCGGAAACTCGTTGTGAGAAATGTTTCGAAACGAACATCTTATGTTGCAAAATATGACACATGTTACATATTTTTTATAAGCATTCATGAATACTGTTTGTAACTATATTGTCCGAAAAACATTAAAATCGCAAAAACTGTTGATTTATTCTAGGACAAAGGAAATCTTAGACAAATACATACTGACGTGTGAAAATGAAATTTATTTTTTCTGGCTTGATTACGAATATCCTCTTCACACAGTCAGCAAAAATTTCTATGCATATACATAGTAATACTCAGACTAGACCTCTGGCCAACCCAAGGTCGACTAGAAAAGTCGGCTGACTGAAGAGCCCGAAAAATATCAAAATCTGGTCCTATACGACATCTACTATTTATAAATCTTAGACTCATGTAGAGGAAATCATAATGAATCTGAATCGTAGATTTCCATATAAGGAAGCTCTCAGCTGTTCATTATCGTTCTTCGTATCGCATCTGTATAAACCATGAAGAGATCTTTTTAAATGTTTGAGACTCCTTCATGGATGAATTTAAGTTATGCAAGACGATAATTAAAGTATATATGCATATAAGATCTGAGATATCAATGGTCTTTTAAGACTGAATCATGTATAACCATATAAGGAAACTAACAGCTGTTAATTATCATTTTTCGCATTATTTACGTCTCCCCAACATTGCCGAATTTCGAAAAAACAGGTTTCAGATGTGCACTGGCCACGTTCTTGGGATCTCATCAAACTGTTTTCCGACTAAAAATGACACTCAGGAGCTGAAAACGAGTGGTTGACTTGAATCGGGACTCATGTGTTGAGAAGAAGAATTTGCTATGACAACTACGCGAGTGAAAAGCAGTAAGTCGTAATATTTATAATTGTTTCTTGTAATAAACAACAAATCTTAAAATAAGCAAATTACACAAGTGTTTATGCAAAGACTTCAATTCGAATTGATAATTTTTCTTTGTTGTCTATAATAAAGATACATTATGAAAACTTTGATTTATTGAGATGAGTTTCTTTTTCTAAATAATGATTTTTCGTAATTAAATCTTTGAAAGAAATTTATGTTTGATAATCGAACAAAAATCAATCCAAAATGGTCATTTTTATCTTAAAATAAATTGAATGTCCCTTTTTTCTTTTATTTCATTATTGATCCAATCTCATAGTAAAAAGAAAAAAAAAACAAAAAAAAATCCTATATATATACATATAAAACTAGACAGGAACAGTTTTTATTTTATCACTCTGTCGATGTGCATATGGTAAGGCTTCACTTGGTTTTAATTTTATATGTGCCATTGCTGGATCACCACCCATTAAAGCCAAATGTTCTGTTCCTTTACTTTCAAAAAATGTATACGATAAACTAATATCACGAACACCTTGTAAACTAGGATCTCGAACAAAATCTGGATCAATATAAAAAAATACTGGCATATCAATCTCTTCACCCGGTTCTAAACGTTGTTCTTCAAAACAAAAACATTGAATTTTATTAAAATAAAATGCTGCTTGTGATGGTTGTACATTATATGTTGCTATACCAATAATTGGTCGATTCGATTCATTTTTAGCTCGATAAAATGCTAAAGCTGTTTCACCTGGTTGAATTGTTATATCTGGTTGTTCTGGTACAAATGTCCATGGTAAGAGTGATGATGGTGTAGATGAAAAATGTATTCGTATTGATGGATGTGATTTATCTAATCGTTGAAATAATTGTCTTACATTTGCTGAAACAATCTCTTCATCTTCAATATTTCTTATAATTCCATCAAAACCTGTTGCTTCACAAAACATTTTATACAAAGGTACAGATGCATAAGTTAAACCAAGCATTAATATAGCTATTGAACTCATATAAAGTGCTATATTAACACGACGATTTTTTTCATTACGTTCAAATTGTTGAAATGATTTTTCATAATCTTTTCTATTATTTAAAGTCGATTGTTCTATCTGGTTGTTAGTATTAGTATTAGTATTTTTATTATTTAATGATGATGAAAAACGTTTTAGAATTATAGAGAATGATGATGATGGTGGTGGTGGTGGTGGTAGTGATACATGAAGATGAAGAAAATTTTTCAATAGAAATGGGCGTACGATATGACGTGATATTAAAAGATTCATGAAAATCTATAAATAGAAAATAAAAAACAACTTGTCCGATTGAATGAAAACAAATTCTTGTTTTTTTTTTCTTTTGGTGTATAATATTTCGTTCTACCGATATAGATTTTATCGGTTTGATCTTGTTTTCTTTTTATTTCGATATTTTTTAACCTAAATTTTTGGTTACAAAAACAAAAGAAAACACTCATTTCTCTTTTTTCGGTTTTTTCTCATCTTCAGCTGCTTGTTTAGCTTTCTTTTCACGTTGTCCAATTAATCTTGCATCAGCACGTGCCATACGTAAAGCTTGAAATGCTTGAAATTTCATATCAACATCATTAATTGGACGAGCTTTTTCACGTGTCACTCGTTGTTTAACTGGCATAATACGTTTTTTAAGTTGTACAGCCAATTTGATTTCTTCTGGTTTAGCATCGTTCTTCTTCGGTTTATCAGCTTTCAATGGGAATAGAATAAGTTTGCCAAGATATTGTTTCAAACGTTGAACATTGAGCTAGAAGACAAAATAATCAAAGTTAACAAATAATATTTTATAATTTATCAAAAAAATTAAAAATTACTTGATAAGCTTCAGTTGATTTATTGCGTCGTCGATGATCAATAGAAATACCAATTGTTCGTGCATATTTTGGATGAAGACCAGCAGCACGTACTTCATCTAATGAAAATCCTCGTCCAGCACGAATTTTCATATTATAACGACGTGTTGTACTATGAACAATTGGACGTAATGAACCTTTAGTTGGTCGAGGAGCAACACGTTGAGCTTTAGCTAAACGTTTTTGATGACGTCGTGTTTTACGACCTGCTTGATCAAACCAAGTACGAACATGTAATTGCCACTTTTTATTAAAGTGAGCATTTGGTATGACGTTGTTATGTTTCATGATCGGATGTCAATCTAAAAAGAAAAACATAAGAAATATATTGAATTTATTTGCTTTAATTGTTGATATAATTATGCAAAGTCCTCAGATCTCATAATCGATATCATGTGAGCCCACATACATAAGGCGAATGAACTGCTACTTAAAACGAAAAAAAAAAAAAAAAATTTTGTTTCTTTTTTGAATAAAAATTAAGTAGTTGTTCATTCGTCTTATGCTTCAAATGCTCTTCAATCGTCATTTATCATCATCGGACTTTATCAAGAATAAATCTGCATCAGTAGAAGAATTTTTCTTTCAAAATAAATCAGACTAATCTGTCTTAAATATAAATGTACATCATATGCAGAAGTTTTTTTTTTTAGAAAGAAGAAAAAAAAAAATTAAAAAATGAATGGTTTATGTTTATCTGTAGAGATTTTATAGCAATGGGTAAATTATGGATTGATTGTCTATTTGATCGGAGGAATTCATTTATAAAAATATTATTTAAAATATAAAATATAAACACATAGAACTTTTTTTTTTTGATTATAGTAAGAAAATTTTGTTTTTATTTTAATTATTTATTTTCATTGGATTGTTTATAACTAATGACACAATAAAATGAGTCATCCGGCGTAAGATTCTATTTTTTTTCTCTTCAATACGTTCTTCAATTATAATTTAGCTAGATAGTTATATTAAGTATTGAATTGTCAATCAAATGTCATCATACGAGAACGAAAATTTTGAACCTCTTGTTGTTCTTCAATTTTCATCTTCAACACCACCTGCAACAAAAGAATGGGTTATGAAACGGTTAACCGCAAGTCATAATGATGATCAAGGTGCAGGTTTACTTGCTCAATATGAAACTAGTCCAGAAAGTGATGTGAGATTTTTTTTGTTTTTCTTTATTTTAAAAATAAATTTGATTTCTTATTTTATAGAATAATATAATTCTAATTGGTGCTACTTTAAGTCGTTTATTAATTGGAGCAGAAGAATTACGCATTAAAAAACGTTATAAAAATAAAGGTTTAACTGAATTTCTTATCTCGGATATTGATCATTTTGAGGGTTCAGGTAAAAATCTATTATAATGAAATTAAGAAAAAAAAAAAATTTCAAATTTGTTAGAAAATCGTGAAAGTCTATTACTTAAATCGGAAAAACAACGAATAATTTGGGAAGAAATACAAAATTTACATCCAATGGCACATGAACATACTGTACCAGGTGTACCAACTAAATTGATTTCACCTAAAAATGATACTATTCGTATGTAAAAAAAAAAAAATTTCTTTGAAAAACAAAATAATTTCTTATTTATGTTGATTAGTTGATATTCTTCATAGTCTTGATTTTGTTGCTAATATTTTTCCATTACATGACAAAGAAGAAATAAAATTAATTGAACATGACTGGTTTAAGTCAATACGCTCAATATTTCAACCACGAGATATTCGTAAGGAAAAAAAAAATAATTTGAATTATATTTAATTATTTTCATTATAGATAAAATTCGAAATTATTTTGGTGAAAACGTAGCATTTTATTTTGCGTTTTTGGAATTTTATACTTATGCACTTATACCAACAGCTATTTTGGGTAAGAAAAATTTATAAAAAGAAGCAATTTTCTTTTTCTTCATAATGATTGTAGATATTTCTTTAGTTCATATTGAAGATTTTTGAAACAAAGAAATAGTAATCCAAACAATAATTTTTTTTTTCATGCGCATGAAGCATTTGAGTATCGGGCGCCAGAAAATCATTTGATGTGGATATATTTTGAGAGCTTTTGATCAGTTCAAGTACTTGTAAGGATGATTAAAAATGAAATACTGTATGAAGAAAAAAGTACCGACTACACACATTAATAATATAAATCCGTCCCAATAGCAAGCTAACAATAATAATACTTTATTGTATCTTGTTATCTATCACAACCATGGAAGAAATATCAGTAACGTGTGAAACCACTTTTGATTAAATGTTATACGCGTTTTTTTAGTTTTATATTTAATAGAACTCGACTTTCGATAGAAATGTATAGTTAAAATAACATAGACTATAATAGACAGGTCAGAAGAGAAGCTACATTAGATTCAGACATTCTGCGTGGTAAAGAGCATTCTTTCGTTCTCAGCGGAACAGATGTTATTATATATTGTTCTAGTTGATTATTCCTAGCAAATATGCAAAATCTGCCTCTGAAATTAAAGAAAGATTTCTTCAAACGTAGATAATTTCTTGAAAAACTTTCTCTGACTATCAAAATAAAGAAAAAGTCGAAATCACTTGTTCTACTCATACACTCGAAAAGATCGATTTATTAAACACGAAAAAGGCAAATATTAATTGTCGATTAACAAAAGCTATTTTCACTTCTAAATATAATACGTTGTATAGTTCAATAAAAGAACAATCTGTTTCAATATTTTATAACATATATATAAATCAGAGAAGCATATGCTCTTGTTACTACAAGAAAAACATTGCTTGGTTCGAATTCCCAAAATAAAAAACTTCTGTGATAACTAAATAATTTTCTGAAATACTCCCTCCCCACAAACACGCCCTGGCTAATGTATGGCTCCAAGTATCATCATGTGTACATAACTCATGCAAGAACTCTGATGACTGCCGACGAAAAGAAAGTTATGCGCTATGGACATATCTTGAGGTTTGCACATGAAAACAAAAGATTACCTTGAGTCTTCAGTGCCATAGTTTTTTTGTTCGTATCCTCAATTCAATATGGTCCGCAAAACGGACTCTTTTTTTAATGTCGTTGACATGCACAAACCTCAGTTGTCCATAGTGAGAGAATACTTCTCGCCATTCAGGGTGTATGAGGCTAGTTACTCGTATAGATTTCATATTAAAATATGTGTTATTTAAATTGTAAATTTTCATTTCAACCAAGGTCATTTTTCAGCATGAGGTGGGAGAAGAAAAAAAGAGAAGTACGATATTCAATATAATTAAAATTAGTTTCAAGCGTCACCAATATTGTTTTCATCATTATGCGAGATGGATGTGTGTGCGTGACGGAGTGGGCGAAGTTATGGAAGTGAATGAAGAGTATATTCAAATCCACACTGTTAGTTACACCTATCGTTTGAAAGGTTTTTGGAAATCACTAGCAACTTCTAAGCATAGATCACGATTCGTTGACTATCACCATATTTTATATTTTTTGCATAAACAAATTTTGGACATCATTTTATATACTAAATCCATTGTTTCTCATTATTTCTTATGTGTCGCAATAAAAACCAATTATAGTATCCATCGTTTTATTCACGCTTCATATATACGCTGTATATTAAACAATTAATGATTAGTGGCATCTACATGGAAAAAATAGCTAAAACGTTCTAAAAGAAAAGCTACCCAACATCTAAAGACATTACGCACACTTGAACAAGAAACAAAAACTGTTGAATAGGAACTGAAGCACTTGAATTGGCAACATATACCATAAGATGTTTGACCACAGTTGAATAGAACACTTTCTTATTACGAAGATTATTTCTTTATAATACATAAGAGCAAAATGATCCGAAATTTGTTGTCATTTAGACATTAATTTAGTGAAATAAACTATTAAAGTTTAAAAAGAATTTTATTTTGTTGTATGAAAGAGCAACGAATCTGAAAATCATTTCAGGTCTTCTGCAAAATTCTTTATGCTCGTCCAAGTAGTGAAAAAAGTAGAATGAGCCAGAGATGGAATTGGTTATCTGCTATTTCTGATGGACTAGCCGATCGTCAGTCTATCTATCTAATTTACTTTCCTGTTTTTACTATATCAATTTATTTAACATTTCTAGTTTTTTAAAGCTAGGACGTCGTTCTTATCTTATATGATTGCTTCTGTTACTTTTTTTGCTCCTTTCTGTAGTCTTAAATACGATACACAAATTAAAAATTATTTAAGAAATGTAATTAATTTTTTCACGTAGCAACACCAATCACATTTGTTAATTAACTTTTAATTTGCATAATTTAATCGAGGTCTCTGTCGTCTGTCATAACTAATATTTAGCTAAGCCAGTAATCTGTGAAATTGATTACATAATATACGGTTGACTACTTTCCGTAGTAGTTTTGCAATGAA